CGCGGAGTAGCAAATAATTCACTTCCACTTTCATTGTCGTGGACATCCATTGACATCTATATTTTTATTGAAATAAAAACAAAGATTAATTTACATACAAGTTATACAGATAGCACACCTACAGGTCTCATTTCAGATTATACAAAGTGATAGTTTAGTGGAAAATTGTGCATTAAGTTAACAAACAGTGACAGCGCTGCGAGCCGAGTCCATTTCTTATTTATTTCTTACTTATTATTTCAATGTTTGTATTTTAAACGTGTAAAAAGCAATAAAAATTGTTAAATTTGATTTGTTTAGTATTATTATTAAGGTTTATACATTTGTTATTCTTAGCACCACCACCTTTTAGGCATGGCCATTTCGATCTACGCTCTCTTATGTGTGTACTTCAAAAACCTATTTGCATAAATCAGGGTGTTACTATACCGTGGTAGAAGTAGAAAAGCGTGTAAGGTGCAATCTCATTATTATACAATTAAATGAAAAAAAAATTGTACATATAAGCCAAAAGAGTTACATTCCACATTATTAGTAGGTAATTAGTAAAACAAATGAAATGTAAATAAAAATTAATGAAAAAATATATTTTTTATTAAATATAATTTACTTCATAGATAAGTTTAGGGTTGATTCTCACTTCTCAGTACGCATCAGTGAACATCATGAGCATGCTTTATGGTAAAGCGTGCTTATAAGTGAGTCCCAACGTTATTATAATAAGTCATACTAGTGAACGCCGAAAAAAGATTTTTATTAATTAAGGAAACAAAGGAAATCTGTAAATAGTTATTTTAATATTGTAGTTCAAAAATCCATTTGACTGATATTAATTTTATCTACATAATTATAAAACAATATTTTATCTACACACATATCAAAAACTCTCTACAATGTGTTCAAAAACCGCAAATTACGACTAGCATAAAGGTAAACTGTTTTGTTAGAACAAATTTCTTATCTGTGAAAATGTCGTATTTCGATGTTATTATTACATTCAAATTTCGAACATCTCTGAAAAACAAAACAATTTGATTGGACCTCAATTCTAATATCAGTCGAGATGAAGTTTTATTCGAAATGAAATGTCAATAGCAAACAATTTTGACAATTTCACACGTTACTTGATATCGAACGATATGATAGTTGGGGCCGATTTTAGTTTGTCTATGAATTAAAAATAAAAACTACGGTTGTGTGACATGCGTGAGAAAAGTTTTTATTTGCCGCCATTTCGCCAGTTGTAACATGCGGTTCCTGAAGACATCACAGAGAGCTTATAATATGTATGTAGATAAAGCGGTGTATGTACCTAACTGTACATAATTAGGCATTAAAACACACGTGAGATGTTTTCATGAAACCCTCACTCGTGTTTTAATGCCTTTCATTACGTAACAGTCACATAAACTACTATTATAACATCACAGTTTTAGAAATCATAGTACTGGAAATGTTTCATTCACGATTAAATAAGCTGTTTTATAAATTCTGGCAATCTACCTATAATTTAGTTTTACAAAGATCTAAACTCTTTGTAAAAATAAATTAATAATTGTAAAAAAATAATTTTCAATCTTGTATAATAATAATCTTATATCATAAGACATATTGTACATTTAACTATCAGATCGAAATTCCCTTAATGAAGTTGAAACACGCTTTCTAAAAGATATGACATATGTATATGCAGTGCTGAGTATCCGAGTGTTTATATAAATTATATTTTCACATATTTCTAAAAATATTGTGTTAGTGTTGATAATTCTAAAATTATTGATAATTTTATTTTTGTGTTATACAATGATTATTATTTCAGAAGCTACGAGGAATACAAAACTTCAATAACGTGAAATAAAATCTGTCTCCTTAATACTTGTAAACATACTCACTAGAACGAATTTAATGAAACTATTTTTAATAATTTACTTACAAATAATATTTTTTCGCACAAATACAAGTAATATTAAGAAATCGTATAAATTTCGGTCAATACTAAGAAATAAGTTTTAACCAATTGGGTATTAAAATTTAAAATGGACTGATTGTTAAAAATGGGCAATTAATATTGTATATTGAAAAAAATGTATACTTTTATTATTTATGTATTCTGTTTATCCCCAGTGTTTTTAATTTAATTAATTTTAAGTACCGAGTATTTGTTTTAGGAAATTGAACCTATTTAATTTAATCAAGTAATTAAAACAATAAAGGAGCGAAAGATTTGGATTGTAAGTTGGCTTAATAAAAATGTTTTGTAATTTGAAAAATGCAATAATCTTAGACGTAAATTTAAAAATAATAAGAGAGTTTTAAACACTATAGTAAAAAACTCTCACAGAATTTCTTTCTGAAAGCTTTTAAATCATCAGCGGCAATAAAAGCCGAATTCGTATGCACAGTAAGACCAGGCTTCTCGGGAAACAAAGGAAGAAATAAATTTTAAATTGACGTCTATGATTATTTCATAATAAATTAATGAGTGTTAAGTTCGCACAGTTTCTGTTAAACAGCACTTTGGTTAAGGGAAGACTGTTATCGCTGGCAATGCGAATGATTTGGACGAAACAAATAAAAAGGTTTTGGAAGTTATTGATTTCGTTTTATTTTATAATTTTTAAATGTTTAGTACCTCTGCCTGAAATTTCGAGATTCTGGTATCTAAAAATGTTTGCTAATAAAAAATGTCAATTACGCTGATTTTAGTCTATACAACCTCAACTTGAATTCAATTTTTTTCCGTACTAATACGGTTCATTATGCTTAGATCGATCGGCAGGGATACTGGCTTTATTTCAGAATAAATTTTTTTACAAACGCAATTAAACCTATTTGAAAAATGTGTATCGTATACTATACGTGTTCTATGTAGTTCAGTTGATATAAAAAAAATCATTGGTATATATAAAGTACGTATTGAATACAGCGGTATAATTGTTAAATGTCACTTTAATAATTATACCGCTCTCTAGTCAGCGGCTGATAGCTGTAAAGGTACCCTGCTGAGTGAAGAAAACTTGCATAGATTTTCTCACAGGTGGCGCTACGGAAAAAAAGTCGTTAATCACAAAAAACAAAGTTCTGCACAAAATCATAGAAAAATTCGTGAGGTCGGAACCGTTGTTCCGTGACTTAGTTGGCTTAGCGTCTGTCACGATTTGCTGGGAGACGTTGGTTCGAATCCAACCGGATCGAAGTGATTTTTTTCTGTGTTCAATGTTTGTTTAATAATTACTTATCAATTAAGTTTTTTCTTCATTCAGTTGTAATAAATAAATAAATATTCTTGGCCATCTTTAATATAAATAAAACATAACAAGAAAGATTATAAAGTCAATTATATTATTTAAAATTATTTACTTATATCAATAATAGATACTAAGTGTTACTCGTATTTGGAGCATTACCATTTTCATTTATTAATGTGTCACTGGTTTCAATAGCTTCACTAACTTCGTTAGTTGTAGTGGCTTCGTTAGTGTCACTAGCTTCTATAGCTTCACTAGCTTCGGATGATTCAGTAGGTTCTGTGCCGTCGCCATCTACGTCTGATGCTTTCTTGAATTTGTTGACATCTGCAATAGAAGAAGTACACATTAATATGTTTTAATTTATTCTAATTTCTATTATCAATTAATAATAAATTGAACTTAATAAAAAATAATTGAATAAAATAATTTGTAAAATTTAATGTAGCGTAAATTGGAACGTTTTATTTGAAAAATTAAAAATAAGGTATTTAATTAATAACTTTTGAAACTATAGTGAAAAAATAGGGTGGTTTGCATTAATATTACACATAACTGGTTGATGACTGTACCACCTCAGTCAACCGTGACCATGGGACCTGTAAAGGGCCCGAAACGTCGGTTGCAAATATACACGATTTAAATGCGGAAAAATAGTTTCATTTCCTATGTGTAACAATCGCGAAAACCTAAGAACTCGATAGAAGAAGGTTATTCATTAGTTCATAGATGACTGTTGTTGCACGAAGGTTTGATCAAAATTTTCATAATGGATAGCCATTTGTCGGTTTTACGATTGCACTAAAGGAACACCAACTGTCCCCGTGGCCGAATGGTTACCAAGCTGGTCTGTCACGCAGTCCCGGGTTCGATTCCCGGGCCGGGAGAAATATTTGCATGGCCTACATTTATTTTTCTCGTAAGTTTGGGTGTAATTTGTGGTTGTCTATGCGTGTCCATGACACCCCCGACACGTGGTATCCCTAGTGCTACTACAGACAGACAGAAACTTGATAATGTTGATGACAATCTTTAAACAGCTAAACATATGTTCGTCAAACATAGCCAAGAATCATCTCGATTCAATTCGTGTTCAAATAGAAAAACCGCGTTTACGATCAGTCCAGACGTTGGTTGAAGGCATAGTCCGCCACGTAGGCCTAATACGGGTTGGAAACATTCTCCAAAGGACGTGTCATGTTGTTTAGCAGCTGTAGAGCTCCATATGAAAGAGTTCGTCCAGGTAAGTACTGCCACCTTACCTAGTTCTGCCGATCTAAGATCTTAGCTATAAAAACCTCTAAGTCGCAACTGTTATGGATAGGCGTATCGCTTACCACCAGGCGCACTTGTTCCTCCCGTAACTTGGTATAATAAAAAAAAGTCGTGTCGTGTTAACACCTTAAGCGACACGCCTGTCCATCGCAGCCGCAGTGTCTCTCAGAGTTTTAAATCGCAAATATTTGAGGGACACATTTGACAAGTCCCATGTGCGTATAATTTTCCCAACACCCTTAACCCTTCAAAACCTGAACGCAGTAATGTTCACATGCCGCTTGGCGGCAGAAATAGGTAAGATAGCAGTACTGCCCTGGACGAATTCTTTCACAAGGGGTTCCACTGCTACTATATCGCATTAGTCGTAACATTAGGAATACTAGAAGTTCAAATTACTTTTATTCATTGTACAAATGTTACTTACCGTATTTGCTATAGTCGGCGCCTAACAACCTCAAGTAATGTACAGTGTCGGGAGTGGCTGTGTAAGCGCGTAGAGAATGTACGCCTCTCCAGCCGACCAGCGTCAGTTCCAGGTCGGAGTCCGTGTCTTTGTATTCCAGGATACAGCTACCGGTGGCTGTACAACAATAGGTTTTAGTTGGTTTAACATTAACTAGCGTATTAAACAATAGAAGCAGTAAACTAGACCCTCAAAAAAGTATTGTATTTTCAATTTAAAACTATAGTATATTCATCAGGTGAGTTGGAGGTCAAATACGCATATATTCTATTATAAAAATGGAGCAGTTTCGGTGTTATTTTGTTTGGTAATACGATGTAATAATAATTGATCGGAATAGTAAGTTTTTTTTTAACTAAACTTCGAGGAACAGAGACGGTAAGTGGAGATTACCTTAATTATGACAATTTTTTTTTATTGAATTGATATTCAATTGTTTTTTGAGAAATTATTCCACTCCAGTTTGTTATAATTATTAATACAAAGATTGAACACTCAGATAAAATTTCTTCGATCCGGCCGGATTCGAACCGACGTCTTCTAGCATACCGTGTCAGACGCTATACCAACTAAGTCACGGAACGAAACAGCGGACCTCACGAATTTTTCTTTGTGTTTGTTGTCGTGTCTTTGTATTTGGTTTTTTAACGACTTTTTGGTCGTAGCGCCATCTATGAGAAATCCATGATTTTTTTTGGATTTTTTTCAGGATCGCAGCGTTGTACTACACTATAAATGAAAACGAAATGCCACACGGTGCGTTGAAACGGCTCGCCACCGCAAGCAACTTAGTAAGAACGACGCAACGCCCGTGTAGCATCGTTCTTAATTAAATTGCATATATTATGAAATTAAAGATAAAAAAAACAGAAAGTATCAAGTTCACTTGTACCATATCGTGTGATGCATTTTGTGTTAAGTAAATGTGTGAAATTTTTCAAGATGTACATATGTCGACAGTGGAAATGTAAAATGTCTAACGTGCATTTAGAAAAATTTTATAGGAAAAAAATAATTGTCATATGGAAAAGCTGAAACTTTCTAGTTTTCCATATATATATTTATACATATATACATACATATATATATATAACAAATAAAGTTACATTTATGACTTTTTTTTAAATTACTTTAAATCGCTCTCATGTAATTTTTCCGAATACACGTTAGACGTTTTACAATGTGTTACGTACAATGCCAAGAGGCTTATAAGTGACTCGGATTTAGTAGAGTCGAAGCTGCAGAGCCTTGAACGCCGTTGTAAAGTTGCCTGCTTATCGATATTCTACAGGGTACATCACGGAGAGTGTGAGGGTATTGCACGATTTACTTCCGCCTTCCCCTTTTCACTGTCGGAGGACTAGACGTAAGCTATGTTGTGGATATTTTAAAGATTCGCACGAAACATTACACTTCCACATTTATATGGCAAACGGCTATAGAGTGAAAATTCACTAAAGTAATAAGTTATCGGCAGGCAGGAAATTTCCTGCCAGCCGATGACATATTCTTTAGGGCCGGGTTTTTCTTAAGTTGTGCATGCGCCATCGTGGATCTCATGTCACTTTCCAGTATGTGAGATGGAGATCAAATACGCACCTATTTTATTATTAAAAAGAATATTGTGCTTTATTTTTTTTTTATAACATCAAGTAACGGGACGAACAAGTCGTGCGCCTGATTGTAAGCCACACCTATCTATTCCTATCCACTCAACATTTTTCTGAAAAATATTGGAAAATCGAGAAAAATATTTATTTTTTCAGAAAAAAATTATTTTTTCCGAAGTTGGTTTTTTTTTGTAGATGCGATGTTATTATTAACTTACCAAAATCTTTGACCAAGTTCCTAGTGTGTTCACTAAACAATTTCAAATCTGGCGGATTTGAAGGGTTGTCATTTTGTAGAACTAGTATCAAATCTTCTTTGAGGATGCGCACGCGCCGCGACTCGCCTATGAACGGGGTTATGCTTTGTAGACCTTCTTGAGATAGTCTGAAAATAAAATTATTATTATTATTGTCCAATCAATTCTTGGGTTATTTTTATAGATTATATTAGCTCCCATGCAACCCACTATCATACTCCAATTTTTGTTCTGTAGGGTTTGTGATACTCTAAAAGTCCTCCTTCATGAAGGTCGACAGATGTTCGGGCGATACTTTCACCACAAACGAATTAAAATTCACGCTGTGGCGGGCCTCCAATCGCTCGACTGTCAGGGTGTATTTGGCGTTTAGTCTGATGTACTCCATCATTTAGTAGCAGTAGAGCTCCTTTTGAAAGAGTTCGTCCAGGAAAACACTGCCACCTTATCTATTTCTGCCGCAAAGCAGTAATGTCAGCATTACTATGTTCCGGTTTTGAAGGGTAAGGGTGCTGGTGAAATTACAGACACATGAGACTTGTTATGGACAGGCGTGTAGCTTACCGTCAGACGCACGACTTGTTCGTCCCGTCACCTGATTTTTAAAAAAAAAAACTTAGATTTCGTGGAGTCACACAGTCAGGTGCAGCAGCGTCGTTGGTATGGCCGGACGCAGCAGAAAGTTCGGTCCTGTCGGTGCTGTGCCACATAGATTACGGCTGGTGGGCGTCCTGTTCCTCTTCTCCAACTTTGATTTTTTGTTGAATAATATGATGTTTTATTTCAAAAAATTGTTACCGTTTTTGCTCAGGCGTATGTGTTTCACTATTTTAACATATGCGCCAAGGGCATATGAGGCAAAAATTGTGGGAGTCACATTTTTTTAATGTTTTTTTTTGTTTCTATAGGTATTAATTTAGTGTATGGAATTAATATTATGAACCATCTCCCCCTGTGCCCCGTTTTTAATTTTTTTTTTCAGTCGTATCAGGCAGGATACCCTAGCCTGGAAGGTTTTTCATACATTTGGCTAAATGTACCTTCTTTATTGAACCATAACTTCAAAACTATCACAGGTATTTATATCCCGAAAACACTGAACGATTGTCACCAGAAATAGAGACGAAATAAGGGCCATATACTCCTGGTAACACATTAGCGATACAGCTTATAAATATCAACTTTCGTTTGCACTGAAATATAGACAGGCCAACTACTGACCTGTGTACGTCTCCGTATATTCCAAAAAATATTCTGTATTTATTGTAATAAAGATAATATCTCTAACAATGCCGTGCTCGGTGGTATAGGAAAAACAGCAAAACATCTAATTACAAAACAAACGGAATCACATTTCATCGGAAATTAAATATTACATATGTAATTTTGCAATTTTCGTCCATTATAGCAAAGCTCAAGTTAACTGGTCAATTTGAAGTGAAACAGTTGACGAGTTCGGGCTGACCAATCGGAGCGCAGTTGTCACAGTAATGATATGGCAGAATAGTTTTCAAACAAATTAAATGACATTTCGCATTGACTTACAATTATATGGACGTCGGATCCGCGCTAAAAATTGTCCGCACTTGTAAGGCTAAAATCGTATACAGAGCGCCAAACTCCGCTTTAGTCTTCATTTGTTCGACTGACAGCGCGATACTGCGATGACATTACAATTTAAATTTCGAATAGGTTGACTTGGGACATTTTTTCGTGGTTTTTGTATTACACCCGTCGTCCATTTATTTGTAAGTCAATGACATTTCGTCTCTATTTCTGGTTATATACTCGATGCATTCTAATGACAACTACGGGAAGATGTTGGACGATATTATTCGTAAAAGGTAGGTAAACCACACGGTTTTGTAAAAGTGTAAGCGTAACTCACCTAAACGGGCAAGTCATGTTCTTGTTATCGCACCGCACGAAAGTCTTCACGCCTGTGTTGATAATTTTGATGCTTTGTTCGTTGTGACGTACTATGTCGCGGACCACCGGCGACACTAAATAGATGTTCTTCTTTTTGCCCACGTGGCACCTGAACAAATTACGAATAACTTGAAAATATTGAAAACTATTGTTCCTGATAAAGTTAAATATCAATTTATAAATAATAACGATGGTTTATTCAACTTTTGCAAAGTATTACCAGTTCATGAAAATGTCAAATATTGTATACTTGCTGAACAGTACTTTGTTAAGGATTGGCAGGTAATCTATAGCGGAGTCATAAGAACCCGTCGACAGCGCGAGGGTAGACTTGTAGTGCCGTCTTATACCAATCTCTACGGAAAAAATAAGCTGAATGTCAAAGTACCTTCCCTAATTAATGAGTTGCCTAAACAACTAAAGGAGGAAATTAATGAAAGAAACATTAAGTACAAATTAAAGGAACACTTCTTAAATAAGAAAAAAAAAATTAAATGACACTACAGAAAGTCCAAACTTAAATAAAACACGCTTTATCACACATCTTTCGATTCCACAAACTTACCTGACAACTAACGCACACTAAGACATTACACAAGTCACATTGCAACGACACTATCATTACGCCAGGTCGCACGCATAGGATTAGTATATCATGATCGCACGTGACATCATACCATTCACTCACACAAACACAACATACATTCATCATTTTTCTTTTTGTTATTGTTAAAACCGCTTAGCGATTAATCGTCGGTATTTAGAAAAACTTACTTTAGTTTATAAAATACTGTTAAGTTTAAGATTATGAATTAATAATGTAACAAGTTATCATAAATAAAAAAAATAAATAAAATAAAATAAATAAAAATAAACTCCATGGTGTCGCGGACCACCGGCGACACTAAGTAGATGTTCTTCTTTTTGCTCACGTGGCATCTGAACACATTATGAACAACTTTTAGTAGCAGTAGAGCTCCTTGTGAAAGAGTTCGTCCAGGGAAGTACTACCACCTTACCTATTTCTGCCGCCAAGTCAGCATTACTGTATTTCAGTTTTGAAGGTTAATGGTGCTGGTACAACTACAGGCTCATGGGACTTGTGAACTTATGTCTCAGGGTGACGGGCGCACTGTCAGTGCCCCTTAGATCTTTGCGATTTGAAGCTCTGAGTGGCACTGCAACTGTTATGGACAGGCGAGTAGCTTACCATCAGGCGCACAACTTGTTCGTCCCATCGCTTCATATTAAAAAAAAACGAGCAGTAGCTTACAAAATGACGTTTTCGAGTGTAAATTTATTTTAAAACTACTAACTACTCATCGAGTAGCTGTAGGTTAGTAGTTGGTAGACCCTTACCTGGTCAATAAGCAAGTCGAGTCAAAATCCGCTTTAAGTCCGTAGTACTCCTTAATCGACGGAAACACATCTTCATCGTCGCCTTTAAAGAAGACGAACGGATCTTCCCGGTAGCCGCCCATTCTGCGTTTCTTCTTCGCCGGTTCTTTGCGGTCCTCGGATTCTTTTGACGTGTTTTCTGTAAGAATATGATAATAAAAACTTAAGATCTGTCTACATCGATACTTCCCATTTTTTTTTATTCTAATGTAAGTGTGCATTTGACCTCCATCTCACCTGATAGAAAGTGACGATGAGATCGACGATGGAGCATGCTCACCTAGATAATGCCTATTCACTCTCGCCTTGAAAAGGTCCAAGTTATAACGTTCAGGGAACAAGTCTGCGGGCAGGGAATTTCACTGCATACCCGTTCGCTATATAAATGTGGAAGCGTAACCCTTCGTGCGAATCTTTGGAATATCCACAACATAGGGGTAGAATTCGAGCCTAAGCCTAGTCCCCCGATGATGGAAAGGGGAAGGCGGAATTAAATCGTGTAATTCCATCGCACACTCTCCGTGATATATCCTGTAAAATACCGATAAGCAGGCAACTTTACGGCGGTGTTCAAGGCTCTGCCGCTTCGCCTCTACTAATTCCGAGTCCCCTATAAGGCTCTTGACACGCTTGTCAATTGACAATTGAATCCAAGGTGGCTAGTTGATATGTAGCAGAGCCATCCTAAAGGTGGCAACATTACTCCATACACGACCAGACTTGTGCTTGATACAGCTAAAGCAACTGTCCCGATGTGAAGTAACGCCTCCCCTGGAAAGGATGCCAAGCTTCCTGGCTGCATTTTTGGCCATGGATTCAATGTATCTGCCGAAGTTCAGATTGGACGACAGGTCCATTCCAAGTTGCTGGAGACGGTCGGCTATTGGCATGGATATATCACGAAAAGTCGGAGTCAGCTCAAAGGGACTCTGTTTAGTGGATAATAGACACGCCTGCGTTTTGGTAGCGTTAAATATGACAAGATTGGCATCGCCCCAATCGGAGACTGCCTTGAGCGTCAATTCTAAACGGCTAACCATGGACTCTCGACAAGACTGGATTTCTTCTCCTATGACCTTTGCATTGGTCAAGTACCTATCTACAACTGTGCTGTCATCAGCATACGCAAAGGTACCTAAAATTAACATATCTATAATTAACATATATATAATTAACATATTAAAGCAATAAAATACCTAATTTAACAATCAATTAAACAATAATGACATAAAGCAAAAAATCAAACACAATGTGACAAAAATGTTTAGACAATATTTAAATGGGAGATAATGAAAGTTGCAAAGGAACGTTTTGACAAGAGACTTCTTGCCAATCACATTGATATTGAAAACAGTGTGACCAATTGTGGCAGATTCCTGCCATTTGGGCAGATTTAATTGTTATTAATTTTCATAACTGCAGAACACGATAAGTTATATATAATGTGGCAGAGTTTGGCAGATATGGGAATATTCGGGAAGTTCTTTATTAGTTTTTGGAACAAACTGAAAACTATTGTTTTCTGCTACTACGAACAAATACCTGAAGCGCAATATAGGACAATGTTATAAATATAACCTATATCAACTTTATAGCCCCAGCTTCTACAACCAGGGGGCCTACCACAACCTCTTAAAACAATATTAATTTAACCTTTACATTGACTTTTCGTGCCATAACGCGCATAAAGTAAGCTTATTTGCAATGTTAAAACTATGATATTTTATTGGCAGTTTTGTGACTATTCATTCACTCAGTCCGTATTATGACGTAACTTTGACAGTAAAGTAATATGGCTCTTATGTCAAATTTAGCAATCTTAAAATAGTTACACGAATGCAATGGAAACAATATTATTTTCAGTTTTATTGTCTTAATATCGATTTGTAATGATTAAAAGTTAAGTTGAACTTATTTATTTACATGTATCTCTTCAATGTTTTGTTTATTTTCATAAATAATTTCTCGTTAAATAAAAATACGCGATGTCTATTTCGTAAAATTATGACAGCGCCATCTATATGCTCCTTGGCGAAACTAACAGTTGACACTAGACTACAGTTCCGAATTCACAACGTGACTATCAAGACTCAGCTTGTTTTATTTATTTATTTTCATGAAAATGCGGAATAATAAATGAAAACAACGTAATTTTAATAGATTTCATTATTACATACTTTTATTGCTATGGCAGTTAAAATTCTCTGAAAGTAAATAATATTAAGTACTTTAACATTATACTACGATAACACGATTCGGAACAACAAAAAATAAAGAGTTGGCATTATACAGTTCATATAGCGTTATTTCTTTCCTACTTTTAGTAAGGAATAGATAATATTGGGAAATCATTCGTCCTTTCAGTCACTTTAGCAATAATATATTACTTGGTTGATAGGTTACTGTACTGAATTAGCTTTTTAATACTTTGATAATGAATCACAAGTATTGATAGGTCTTTTTAAAGCACGTTGTCAAAATACACGGGATGTCGCCATTCTTTTTTAATAATGGCAACATAGCTTTAATAACTGAAATAAATATGTCACTGGGAGGTTTCTCAAGGGTATATCACACATTATATGCCATGCTACGGCCACTGGTGTCATTATTTACAGTATCAATTTGGTTTTTTTAAAGGAAAATGTAAAACACAAATAAGGCATGTGATCTACCAGACACAGTTCTGGGGGTCTACTCTCGATCTCCGTCGGACATCCGTCCGAAAAAATTACTGCCAAATAAGCAATACTTGACCAAATGAAAAGACGTGATGCGAATGAAGCTTCATACTTGACACTTGTCTTTTAATTTTGTCGAATATTACTTATTTGACAGTAATTGTTTCGGACGGATGTCGGACGGAGACCGAGAGTAGACCCCTGTTAAGAAGTGCTGCAGTTCCTTTTAACGTAATCGTATTTTTTTAATAGTATTTTCTAATGATTTGTACAGTTATTGTTTGATTTTGTCTTATAGTTCTGACTGGGTATTATTTTACATGTCAAATAAAATGAATTATTATTATTAACGATCGTATGTATGTGTGTCTCTGTGCGTATGATTGTGCCTGTGCGTGCGTGCCAGCGCACATTCGTGTGTAACGAAATTTACCTTGACTTTCTGACGGGGACGAGGACTCAGTTTTCTCCCAAGGAAGCGGCTTGGTTTTCTGGAAGACAGCTACGAAGAAACCACCTGTGTCTTGGTGGTGTGGTAGGATACGGACGCTGCAAGAATGAGACAGTATCATCCAGTATATAACCAGAAATAGAGACGAAATGTCATTTAATTTGTTTGAAAACTATTCTGCCAAATCATTACAGTGACAACTGCGCTCTGATTGGAAAGCCCGAATTCGAAACAATTGACGGGTATCGTCAATTATTTCATTTCAAATCGAGCAGATTAACTTGAGCTTTGCTATAATAAACGAAAATTGAAAAATTACATATTTTATATTTAATTATCGATGAAATGTGATTCCGTTTGTTTTGTAATTAGATGTTTTGCAATTTTTCGGACTGCGCCGAATGGAACAGCCCCCATTCTTAGAGATATTATCTTTATTACAATAAATACAGAATATTTTTGGAATATACGGAGACGTACACACAGGTCAATTGTTGGCGCTGTACTGTTTCAGTTTTCTAATTTGTGGTTTCAGCGCAAACGAGAGTTGATATTTAAAAGTGATATAATGCCCATTTGCCTGATGAGTTGCCAGGGATGGATGGCCCTTATTTCGTCTCTATGTCTGGTTACATACTCGATGGAACGTATACATATATCATATATGTACATATAAGACTAATTTTTACGTCATTGCAAAAAAAAAAAGGAGACGGTTTTAATTTGACTGTATTTTTTTTTGTAGGTATGTGAGGCATTTGTGAACCGATTTTTATAATCTTGGAACGAGGGTGCCTCAGTATTAGTCCCATTTAAATTTTGCAATAATTGTAAATTGTATAAATATGTATTAAATATTATA